ACATTGATAACAAAATATGAAATAAAAAAGACTCAAAGTAGCCCCACAAAGTTGTAGTGCATCTATGGCAGCTAAGTAAATCACATTAATAGCAATACTCATGTTCTTCCAATGACCAAGGAAGTGGAGACCTAAAGCGTAATGATCTCAGGCAGTTTTGACATCAAATGAACAGAGTTTAGGGCCTTTCACTCATTTACACAAGATCAAAAATTAAAGATATGTGTTTCTTCAACGAAATAAAACACATTAATAGTTAGGAAACCATGCCTACAGATTAACTTGCGTTTTTGAACTATTCATCTTTAGTCTCAGATATATCTCTGCATCACACGCATCAGTCTCCATCCTTTGATTTTTCACCAAAATTTTAAGTAAACTAAGCAATATTAAGAGTACCAATCCATTGATCGATGCCACCCGCAGTTGCAAGTTTATCATACATCCCAATGACGCCGCATAATAGATTGCGTTCAAAAGTAACTATATGTACTACCATCGGTAAACGAACCCATCATCTCTTTCAATTTTACTCAAGCGAAAATTCTACAAGCTCAGGATAGAGTGTGCTGAGCAAAATCTTCGAAAGTCTTCTTAAATTTGAAAAATGACAAGTCGGTACATGAGCATGTGATTCAACTATCAACATGTAGGGAGAAACTCAGAGGATCATTCGTTTAACCATTAACAAGTATCTGCTCGGATACACAGGTCTAATAACGAAAGGAAAAGCCCCACAAAGTTGTAGTGCATCTATGGCAGCTAAGTAATCACATTAATAGCAATACTCATGTTCTTCCAATGACCAAGGAAGTGGAGACCTAAAGCGTAATGATCTCAGGCAGTTTTGACATCAAATGAACAGAGTTTAGGGCCTTTCACTCATTTACACAAGATCAAAAATTAAAGATATGTGTTTCTTCAACGAAATAAAACACATTAATAGTTAGGAAACCATGCCTACAGATTAACTTGCGTTTTTGAACTATTCATCTTTAGTCTCAGATATATCTCTGCATCACACGCATCAGTCTCCATCCTTTGATTTTTCACCAAAAATTTTAAGTAAACTAAGCAATATTAAGAGTACCAATCCATTGATCGATGCCACCCGCAGTTGCAAGTTTATCATACATCCCAATGACGCCGCATAATAGATTGCGTTCAAAAGTAACTATATGTACTACCATCGGTAAACGAACCCATCATCTCTTTCAATTTTACTCAAGCGAAAATTCTACAAGCTCAGGATAGAGTGTGCTGAGCAAAATCTTCGAAAGTCTTCTTAAATTTGAAAAATGACAAGTCGGTACATGAGCATGTGATTCAACTATCAACATGTAGGGAGAAACTCAGAGGATCATTCGTTTAACCATTAAATAAGTATCTGCTCGGATACACAGGTCTAATAACGAAAGGAAAAGCACAGAATGGCGCTTAAAAAACATAAGGTCGCTAAAAATTGGCGACTTCCTATGGATGTTGGTTGCTCAATCTTAAAAATGGAGCACTTTGGCAGCACAGCCTTATGGCAGCGCATAAGCTAATAAGGTCAGGGAGTCATGTCAGTCAAAGACACAAAAACAAAGAATGGACCTAAATATAAAATATAAACAAGTTAATAAAAATCCTTGAAGCGAACACAATGATGAGATGCAGTGAGGTTCTTATTCCTGAAACTCTGCCGTGCAATAGATTCTTAGAATAGAGCAAGAGAGAAAATGTTAAAAGGTCGGGAAAAAAATATACCGGTCTAGTAGCCAAGATAGTGCCAGCGGCAACTGCATTTGCTAACTTGCAAGTGCACCGAAGCATGACAGCAGGGAGACCCGGCGCAATATTTCTCCAGGCATCATCCCGAAAAGCCCTCTGCAAATCAGCAGTGAACGCTGCCTGCTCACTCCATTCTTTGACGGCCGTATCAGCCACTCTCAGCTCGATCATTCTCTCCACCAACCACAGAAGATGCTTTCCATTTGTCATGGCTTTGTGCAAATTCAACCGCTGAATCGCCTCCGTTTCATTATGGTCCCCTCTAAAATCCGGACTGGAATACTCCTCCAAGGACTCTTTCACTGTCTTCAAGCTCATGTTAAATGCCTTCTCCAGCACCCGCTTGGCCGATTCCCTCGAAGAAAAATCCCTCAAAATCTTAGCAACAAAAGCCTTGACATAGGCCATGTTCTGATAATTGTGAATGGCCGAAAGTATCAAACCTTCAAGCATAACTTCACACGAATCCTCCCTTAACGGGGAAACCCTGGCAAGAAGCTCCTTTGATTCCTCCTCACTCAGAAAAGGGATCAAGTTCAAGACTCTCTCTCTTCCTCTTCCGTCCAAGGGACTGCCTCCAGGAAAGTAACGCATGAACGAATGCAATCCTCGAACAACAATTCGAGGGCAACTGCGAGGAGATCGAGAGCAGTGGATGCACTATCAATGGTATTAGCAAAATCATTAGTATAGAGCAATTCAAGCACCGTGAGATGGGACTGAATTGAACCAGGAGTAGAAGGAACACTAAGATTAAGTCTAAACAAGTTATCGGAGTCATCTGGTTTGGACTGGCCCATCCATCGGTCAGATAAGAGAGCAGAGAAGTAATTCGAACGGCGGAGTATGTCAGAGTGGAGGTAGACGGAGGTGGAGGGGGAATGGTCGACGGAGCGAGAATCGGAGGAAGATTCAGTCGACGAGGCGGTATCGACAAAGAGGCGCAGGATCACGTCGGCGGTAGAAGAGTCGTTAAAGAAGCTGTCACTGCCGCCGCCGGCACCAGTGGTGGTTGGGCTACGGCGTCGGGTTTGGGTAACTTCGGCGACGCTAATGTCGGAGAGCGATGTGTCGATGACTGCGATCGTGGACAAATGGCGGCTGCTGGAGGGCCCGGTGGCGCGGTGGCGCTTCTTGGGGCCGCCGATTGTCATTGTGCGGGTGAGACGAGAGATTCAAAGGCGAAGTAAATTAAATAAGGAAGAGAAATCTGGAAGGAAAAAAGATCAAGTGGGAAGGTTTCCTGGATTAAGGCCGGTATGAGATCAATGTTTGAGGGATAGGTAAGGCAGGGAAAGAGGTGAGCGAGAGTCGGATTCGGAGAGAAACGGGGACCGCGCTGTTTTTTGGTTTATATAATTTAAAAGACAAACTAACTAACGAAAACACGCATGTCCTTATTAATTATAATATAATTAACAAAATGTTTTGCAGTAAATAGCACTTCCTCCATCTCACTTTTAAGGAATTAAAAACAATATCATTGGACAATATATAAACGAAAAGAAAGTACGAACTTATGATCTATATCATACATAAAAATTGCTAAGTTGTATCTAAAAAATGTGAAATTATCTTAATCATTAAATGAGTATACAATTTTTTTTTTTAAAAAAGAAAAGTTCTGCTCATTAGTTACGTGGGTTGGCCTCTTCTTTTTTGTTGGGCCGGCTATATTAGCCTACCCTGAATGGGCCTGGCCCAGCCCTTCATTTGCGCCCTAAATGATCATTAGTCATGCCATTTTTTTTGGGGGGGTTACAATGTTATTCTTGTATTTAAACACATCAAAAGAATATAAAGTATCTGGACTAGATCTTTTTTGGACTAGGATTCAATTAATGCCTTGTTTTTCTTAAATGCATATCTTAATAAAAAAAATTTACATTGTACTTTTTAAAAATATTTATTCGGAAATAATTTTATGTTTAGAGTATTTCTCCTTCTCCTTCAAATTTCAACATGCCTTAGTTTTTTTTTTGTAAACAAAAATTTAGGTGAGTTGAGCCCTGAAAGTTTATTAAGAAAATTCGAGACCTTATGAATTGGGTATCAACTCTTTACTAATTAGATCATCTTTTATTGGCATGCTCTATTAGTATTTGCTTAAATGTTGCATGACTAAATATTATTTTAATAGGTTTTTTCAATTATAATCTTAACCCCAATCTCTTATTTTTAATACTTCCTATCAAACATAACTTATATGTTCCGTTTGTAAGTGTCCTGGGAAAAAAAAAAGTGCGATGAGCTAAGTGAGAATTACTGAAAAAGACTATTTAAAGTTAACTTAGCATAGCATTTGACCAGGAGCGCTTGCATATGATGTAAGTCACGCAACTCTTTCAACCCTTCAACATCAAAATTTGACTTGTTCTCAGTCATTTTAGAGTTAAGGATCGAGAATATGTAAAAAGAATTTTCAAATAACTACTAACGATTAATGATTAAAAATAAGAATTTTTTATGACGTTTTTTTTTTGAAAAATCAAATAACTATAAAATCACAAAACATGAGGTCTTGCTTTCTTCCAAAATAAAAGGACAAATAAAGTGCCAACCATGAAACTAAATCAAGGATGTTTCAAGAAACTTGCTTCTCTCGCCACTGAAAATGCGTACAATACATTTAACGTTACTATCCAAATCGTAGTTGGGTGTCACTTACATTTCAACCTCCAGTTTGGTCTTTGCCATCTTTTTACTTTTATACATTTAACGTTACTATCCAATGCGTACAATACATTATTTTCCTTCCCAAAAATCTTCCTTATGCCTCATGCAATATCAATACGCATACAATTAAATACACGTAAAGACATACTCCTCCGGTCCTAAATCACTATAAGGGTATTATATTTAGGGCCAGAAAAGTATTATTGATATTCCATAATTATAAATAGAATAATTCATTTAAAACTCAGTATATTCTTCTATAGATCTTATATTTTCACGTTGATCTTTATATACTGATATGATAACAAAAATAAGTATATATTTATATATGTAAATTAATTTTATTATTAAACAATATATTATAAAATTTAAGTGTAGTTTTTAGTATCATCTTCTGGTACCAAACCCGGAAAAGGACAACCCAACTCTCGCTTTTGTTTTATTGGCAAGGATAAAAAAAAAAAACTCACTTTGATCTCTTTTTCTTTTTCTTTTTCTTTCTTTTTTTTATTTTTTCCGTCGAAACGATGACACCCACCGGCGCTCTTTCTCCCTCACTTGGCTCTCTTCTTTCAGAATTCAGACGTCCTTTCTCTCCCATGCTTCGCTCTTCCAAACTCCAAACATTTTCTTACCATTTTCTCATCAACCAAACACTCCCCATGCCACTTTTCTAGCTCTCTTCTCCACTAGTCTCAACCCATGTCAACCATCTCCGACCATTCCTCCACCAACTTTGTTCTGCATGAACTGAACAAGACCACTCCTTTTCTGGGTTTACAACTTTACATCGTTATTTGTGTTTTTCTCTTCATCTTCGTCTTTCTGGTGCTTCTGATCTTCCTCTGCATTCGCCGGGATCGAAGCTCCACCAAACCCAGTACGCTAGCCAGCCAAAGCTCCGGCGTGATTCCGTTGGTGTCGAAGGAGATCGTGGAGGTCGAAGCCTTGGATCTTCTTGGTATTGAAGAAGAGAAAAAGCTCAAGCCAGGTCGTGATCTAAGGAGGAAGCAGGCGGAAGACGAGGAGATCAATGTTGGATTTCGGAGAGGGAAACAGAGGAACGATGAGACTGATGCCGTGGACGGCCTGAAGATGGGGTGGGGCCGTTGGTACAGCTTAGAGGAGCTTAACCTTGCGACACGTGGATTTTCCGACGAGAATGTGATCGGAGAAGGAGGCTATGGAATTGTGTACAGAGGAGTTCTACAAGATGGCTCTGTTGTTGCTGTGAAGAAACTTCTAAACAACAAGTAGGTGAAATGTCAAATTTTTCTTCCCCCAGAAAATTATTTAGTATATTCCTATCGTTATATCGATCCAACAACTAAATTTTCAATTTTCCTCATCAAAATCCTTCTCTAAATTTGACAGTTTAAGCCTTTTTGGTCATAAATATGTTTGTGCATGTTTGTTTGTTTGGACTTTGCTGATATAAATACACAATTTTTAAGAGAAAATTTCAGATGATCCCGCTGTGTGTGTCACCTTCAGATTATGAAATAGGCTCTTGTTTTTGAAATTTAATTACAAGATTTTTAGTCTCCAACTGGAAAAGAAGATGGATTGACCAGTTGTGGATCTGGAATCTGCTTTGAGGGGTATAAGGAAAAGTGAAATTGGCCCCTTTGTTCTTCGTTTTGGCCTGCCTGTAGTTACTTTTCCATTTTTTACTTTCAACTTTGGTTTATTTTATTATACCATTTATAATTATAATTGCTTTATCCCAACTTTTGCTTTTTATGTGAAGTATCATCTTGATGTCTATGAAACTGATTAGTTCACTAAAAGAGGAAAAACTATTACTTTGGCCTTATTTGAATTTCATAGACTAATAACTTCATAACTTCATTTTCTTTTTAACAGAACAGTAAAGTGTAATAACTAATAAGTTGAGCATTGGATTATCTATCAAACACTGAAAGCCTTATAAGAATTCCTAAATGCAAAAGGATTGCTTCAAATTTGGAAATAAGGTTCTTTCCTCTCTATTTTCCTGTAAATAGGGGTCAAGCTGAGAAGGAGTTTAAGGTGGAGGTTGAAGCTATTGGAAAAGTAAAGCATAAGAATTTGGTGGGTTTAATAGGATATTGTGCAGAAGGTGCTCAAAGGTATTATTCTGTCCACTTTTTATTGATAAACTAAGTAGACCCAGTTTACAAAATATGAAACTAATTATTAACAGAACCTACTCCTAATTAAACATACTTATTTGTTCGTTCATAATTGGTTTGTCTACCATTTAGGATTCTTGTTTATGAATATGTTGAGAATGGAACCTTGGAGCAGTGGTTGCATGGTGAGGTAGGGCCTACCAGCCCATTAACATGGGATATACGTATGAGGATCGCCATAGGGACGGCAAAAGGGTTTGTGTTCTTTGAGGTTCTTGTCTCTAGAATTAAAATGCCCATCTTAACAGAATTGTTATCATGCCTCCCTGATTGTTCACTTTGGTGTCTGCTTTTACATAACGCGACAGGCTTGCCTATTTGCATGAGGGGTTAGAACCCAAAGTTGTGCACCGAGATGTGAAATCTAGTAACATTCTTCTGGATAAAAGATGGAATGCCAAGGTATCAGACTTTGGACTGGCCAAACTCTTGGGATCCGAGAAAAGCTACGTGTCTACACGCGTAATGGGGACATTTGGGTTGGTTATTTATTCAACTGAGTCATGAAGAAACCTGTAAGCATGTCAAATTAGGCTTATTCAGGCATGCATTATTTTCGCAGATATGTTTCGCCCGAGTATGCGAGCACGGGTATGCTTAATGAAGGTAATGATGTGTATAGTTTTGGAGTTCTGCTGATGGAGATAATCACCGGAAGAAGTCCCATTGATTATTCTAGATCGCCAGCTGAGGTGATTTCCAAATTTCTTTTGTTGAGTTCTTAGAGAAGCACTATGGAATTTTTAAACTCATTTTCATTTGATGTGCTTTCAGATGAACTTGGTCGACTGGTTCAAGGGAATGGTGGCGAGTCGTCGTGGCGATGAGCTAGTAGATCCTTCGATTGAGATTAAGCCCCCTCCGAGATCACTGAAGCGAGCTTTGCTGGTTTGTCTGCGCTGCATAGATATGGATGTCTGTAAGCGGCCAAAGATGAGTCAAATAGTTCATATGCTTGAGGCAGATGATTTTCCCTTCCGTTCTGTAAGTACTGAGCATTAATCTGCAATTTAGGAAGCAGATTTAAAGTATTACAACGAACTAGGTTCTTTTTCTGAAGCCAAGTACTGAAGTAATATTATAAGGAATCTTGATCATGTTATGGCAAGATTTGAGACTGACAGATTGTATTAACTTCAACTTCCTCAAATACTTAATTAGGTTCTTACTTGTTCTATAGGAACTTCGGACTGCTAGGGAGAGAGATCCTATGGCTTCTCATGCAGGTGTTTGCAGCAAAATTTCATATCCACTAAAGCATGGAGTGGAAGCGGTTGAGAGATCAAGATGGCGATGATTGCTGCTTGTAATATTTGCTGATATTATGCAGATTCTGAACATCTAAATTTCATAGCTTGCTTTAGAACTTTTAACACCATTTTGTGTTTGCTTTTGTATGGCCATCATCATGTGAAGATTTACTAGGTTCTGTAAAAAATGTAATGTACCTTCCATGTCATATAACTTGGATCTCCCCCTAAAATGATTTCAGATAAATTGATGAGAGAGATAAGCATATAATAGTGGGCCATTTTTTTGTTTGATGTTATCATTCAGCTAATCCGGTTTAGGTTCGTGGCTTTTCCTCCCGACAGAAGTGTCTCCTCTAGGACTTGAACTCGAGACCCAAAAGGATCACGTGAGCCTTACGTCATTAGACCACTTGACATATGGGTCCTACAAAATTGGAACTTGCTTCTTTTTTTTTTTGTATTTATCTCTCCCATCTCTTTATCTAAAAATTACTCAAGGGATCCAAATTGCGATATATACCCATTTGCATTTGAAGAAATTACAGTCATATTAATATTGTTAATGGATTAATATAGTGTTTAAGTATCTCATTTAATTGGACTTTAATATAGTTCATTTTTAATTTCTTATCTATGTACTCTTGTCGGTCGTAAATATAAGAGTTAATTGACTAATTTGAGTAGATTAAGGAAATAAGTTAAGTTATTTATTTGTAATAAATATGTGTTTTTTTCTAATAATATTCTTGCTAATCAAGTGTATTGGTTAAAACTACTATTACTAGAAAGATTACTTTGAAAAAATAGATAAATATAATAGATAAAGTGGATTGAAGTTTTATATTTATGACCAAAATAAAAGTCGAACAAGGTCTTATATTAAAGACTGAATGTAGTATTATACGGAATCCACCTAGTTTATTTATTTAAGAAATATTATTACTTTCGATCTTAAATATAAGAACTAATTTGTAGTACAAATTACCAAATTGCACATATTCACCGTACCTATACATAACTTCAGTTATTTTCCTTTTCTTTATTGGTAAAATAATTTCTCATCTATCTACTAACTTATTTTTTCTCAACATACTTTCTATTCTCCAATTACAATCCAGACAAAATAAAAATTTAATCACATCTTTGGTCACTTTTACTTTCACTAATTTTAACCTCATGTTTATTGACAATGTCCGGAACTGATCGCACAAGGAGAGCCAATATTCAATCGCAAAGTGACACGTGCATGTACACGCCGGCGCGCAAAGGGAGATTGAAAGCGCCAAAACCAACGGCTTTTCAATTTTCATCTTCACGCGACGTCGTCTCACCCAAATTTTTAATTATTAATTAATCTCAAAAAACGTAGTGCCTTAACGGCCAGCCAGGCCTCCCACCAGATTCAATTCCATTCTCATTTCACAGAAAGAGCGTGATAGAGGGATTTACCGGCTCTGAATCATGGAGGCGAAGCTCATAGGGAGGTTGGAATCTGCTGTGACGCGCTTAGAGTCTCTATTATCATCCCGAGCCGCTGCCCGACGGCGACGGCGACGCTGCTCTTTCTGATGATGGTGCGACAGCGGATTCGTCAATTGTTGCTTTCGATGATCTAATGACCCAGTATGTTGGTGGTTTAATCACAACCGCGGAGAAGATCGGTGGACAAGTCTTGGAGGTCGCAATGATTTTGCGGGAGGCTTTTGTTGTTCAGAAAGAACTTCTGATCAAGGTCAAGAGAATTCAGGTTGGCGCTTCCAGGACATTTCTATTCCCTTTTTTTTTTTTGGCCCCTCAATGGATTTATTCTTTCGTCGAAGTTATTGCCATATATTCTGCTTCTTCCGGCTTGGGTGAGGAAATATTATTAAGAGTTTGTTGATTTTGGTACGTAATAGCTGATTTATATGTCATTTGATGAATATGCAAGGCTTATTGCATCCTTAAGGACAACATTATTGTGATGAATATTATGGTAGTTCTTGCTAAGTACTTTGTTGGTAGTAGGTGTCTGTTTGAAATGAATAGCTTGGTAGCAAGCAAACTGATTGTAATGACGTGCTTAATCGGCATGGAATTCTTATGTGGATCCAAATATCATTGTTTCTATGATTTTTTCAAATTATGTAACATTTCTGCATGTTGGAGATGGAGATGCCATTCTTGTGGGACAAAAGAGAGCGGTCACGTAATTTGTGCGATTTTTATATCAGAACTTTAGTAAGTCCAATTGATAATCAATGCCCGGAATAATAATGAGGATCAATAGAGGGTGAAGCTAATTGTTGAAAGTAGTCAGAGAAACGTAGAATGACCTTTCGTAGACGCAGCCTCTGATTAAATGAATAATGTTTTCAGGTAGCTAAAATTCTGTAAAATGTAATTCCAAGACGTATTATGATCGACAGAAAAATTGAATTTCATAGTTCGTGCTTTGAGGGCATATATTCTTTGCAGTATAATCTCTTGCATATCTTAATTATGCAGAAACCAGACCCTGCTGGGTTGGCCGAATTTCTGAAACCGTTGAATGAAGTTATCTCAAAGGCTAGTGCAATGACAGAAGGAAAGAGATCTGATTTTTTTAACCATTTGAAGGCTGCTGTTGACAGTCTCTCAGCCCTAGCATGGATTGCATTTACTGGGAAGGGTTGTGGTTAGTGATGCCTCTTTTTTTCCTACATTGAGTTATTATTTTCCTTTTTATTATTGTTGTTGTTTGTTTTTTCAAGGTATGAGCATGCCCACTGCACACGTGGAGGAAAGTTGGCAAATGGCTGAGTTTTACAGCAACAAGGTACTCTTTTTTTTTTTTGACAGAACAAGGTACTTTCTATGCATGGCAGAAGCCCGGTGATTTATGTTCGTCGAAGTGCTGGTCCTCTCTTTTTATATAGAGGGGAAATGATAAAGGAGTTCATTTAAGTGAAATAGGTTTTGTTCTTTGATAATTTTAATGACCTTTTTCTTAATTTCTCATTGAAGGTTAATATATGCATGTTTATTGACTTGAAGAGCCAACAATTTATGTCAGCGTAATGCCTGAGAATGTAAATAAAAAGGATCAGCTGGGTCAGTGTTTAGTTGCATAGACAAATTAGGAGGGATTAAAATTCTGCAATTCCACTTACTTATGGTAATATCTACGGTACAGAATAAAGTGCGATGATTTTGCATGAATCTCCCGGGCTTTACATGCACTGTATATCTTCATGTTGCTGTTTCAAAAGCCATGAATACCTTATCCTCTTTTATTGTAAATCAGGTACTTGTAGAATATAGAAACAAAGACTCAAATCATGTTGAGTGGATCAAAGCTCTTAAAGAGCTATATCTTCCTGGTTTGAGGGATTACGTCAAGAGTTATTATCCTTTAGGTCCAGTATGGAGCCCAGCAGGACAAATGATTGCTCCATCAAAAGCTCCCGCACCTTGTGCGCCTGGACCCCCAAATCCACCTCCTGCTTCTCTCATTAGTTCTGAATCTTTTCAGGCTTCATCCTCTAAGCCAAAAGAGGGGATGTCTGCTGTTTTCCAAGAAATAAGCTCTGGGAATGTTACTGCGGGTGGGTTATTCTTCCTCTTCTAATTCCTGAATACCTTTTACAGCATAAAAACCAGAATATTTGTCTAATAGGTCTGAGAAAGGTAACGGATGATATGAAGACAAAGAATCGTGCAGATAGAACTGGAATTGTTGGTAGTTGTACTAGTGAAAAAGAAAATCGTGCGGTTTCAAATGCAACTTCTAAAACAAGTCCTCCGAAGTTTGAACTTCAAATGGGTCGCAAGTAGGTTTTTATATTATACATGCAATTGGATTTGAGTCTGTATGAAATGCAAGGTCATCAGGTTTTCAGTTGTCTAAGCCAACCATTCTCTTCTGCTGTAGGTGGGTTGTTGAAAATCAAATCGAAAAAAAAGACTTGGTAATTGGGGATTGTGATGCAAAACAGTCTGTGTACATTTATGGATGCAAAAATTCTGTTTTGCAGATCCAAGGTAGCAATAATCTTGTTACAAGCTTCTTTTCCTCCCCGGTTGGGAACTTGGTTTATAGAAATATGGTCTGTGGCTTTTAAACTTATCACTTGATAGAAAGGGTGCAAGTGGCTTGATGACTTCTAAACAATTTGCAGGGAAGATCAACAATATAACTGTTGACAAATGCACAAAGATGGGAGTTCTATTTAAGGTTAGTGCAAAGTAACAGTTGTTAGAATTTATTCACACTGAGGAAAACGGAAGCTCTTTTTTCTGTGTCTACAATGTAGGATGTGGTTGCAGCCTGTGAGATCGTAAATTGTAATGGGGTTGAGGTGCAGTGTCAGGTACCCCTACTCCCCCTTCATCTTCCTTTTCCTTCCATATCTTTCATTTATTCTGATCCGATATGCTGTATATGTATGATATGACATTACAATGCTTTCTACTACGATAGCTTTATTAGATGCAGAGGAGGGCTTGATCCTCAACGTTAATGAATAAAGAGGTGCACCCAATATCCCTTTTGTTGTAATTATGCTTGCTTTCACCTATATAGGGTTCAGCACCAACAATATCGGTGGACAACACTTCTGGCTGCCAGCTTTATCTGAGCAAAGATTCGTTAGAAGCATCCATATCTACAGCCAAGTCAAGTGAAATCAATGTGTTGGTACCTGGTTCCTCATCTGATGGTGATTGGGTATGTTTTTACTTTGCTGTTCTATTATTTGCTTGAAAGCAAGTGATTTTGAGTTTTCTGATGTTTAAATCGCATATCATGCTACTTGCAATTGCTAAAATCAAATCAATCATGCCCCCAAAGTTTTCGCTGCCACAAAGGCATAGAATAATTGAAGCACTAAAAAAAGGGATGTTGAAGAAAGGAAACTTTTTGAGGCGGGGTCACATAAGGGGCAGAGGCACAAATGCATGCACAAATTTAAATTGCATATCCACCGGAATGAGAGGAATGCAAGCGTTCCGATAAAAGGGACACGCTCAAGCTGTCCATTAGCATATGGTGGGTCTCAAAGAAACTAATTTGATTCTCTTATGATGAAAAGTAGTTCTAATGGTACGGGTTATTTAATCGATTTAATGAAAATGTAGCACAAATTATGGTTTTGTTGGAAGAAATGGTGTTAATTAAAAGCTTATGCTGCCACAATTAGCACTTAGCAATCTAATCGGCTTAGGTTAAATCGTCAAAATATTAAATCACTTAGGGGTCAATTAAAAGGAAAAAAAAATCCTTCAACGAAAACGTTCAAATTCATCAAGTCTATAGATTTTCTTAATTTCATTTATTTGTTTGCTTGCTTGCTTTTAATTTTAAAAAATAGAATGCAATATTGAAATGGGAATCTTATCATGATCTTTCAAATATTTGATAAAGATCAAGAATATTTATATCAAATTTAGGCACTTCAATTCAAGTTATCTTTTATCTTACTTGAGGCTCAAAATGCAAGATTCTCTCCATAGAGAGGATCCAAATTGGAAGCTTGACAAGCCTTGCCTTCCTATAAGCTAGAACTGTTGAACGGGGGATAAATTGTGCTGATGTAGTATTTTAGTGGAACAGTTTACCAAAAAGAAGATACTATTAGCGGAACATGGTATGCCAAGGAACATGAATTACCAATTCCGTTTCAGGTGGAGCATGCTTTGCCCCAACAGTACTTCCACCTGTACAAGGAAGGCCATTTTGTAACCACTCCAGCTTCCCACTCTGGAGCTTAGACAGATTATTCATTGTTTGACAATCTTGGAGTCCCCCGGATCGCTGGCTGTGTGGCTTCATTTAGTGGCCTATGACCCTAATCTTTATGCTTTTGTTTTCTTGGATTTCAATTACTGGAAACCCGAAGGTTTTATTTATGTGTAGGGTTTTTCTGTCAAAGTGGATCAATTCTGTCAACATGGGCACAGCTTCTTCTTTTTTCCTCTTGAGGTGTCTAATCTCTTCTCATGTTTTAAAAATATCTTGGTCCAAAACTTTTGGACGTTCAGTTAGATCTTTCTTTTCAAAAAATGCAACATTTTATAAATTTTGTATGAGTGCATCATATGTTGATTTGCAATGTATAGAATTTAAAGTCTCTTTACTTGCACATTTTCAAACAACATAATTTCCAACTCGTTAAGATTTGGGATGAATGACTTGTATGTTTCATACAGCGATTAAGGTAATTCTCACTTTTACATTTTCCCCCTTACATTTCTCACTTTCACAGTTTTACCATCTCAGAAGAATTGTATGACCAATCGATTGTTTAACTTATTGTTTTTTTAAAATGAAATGGGATTTCACCATGCAATAATAAAATATCTACTCCCAGTCACTCGCACCAATGCCTATGAGCAGCCGAATTTTTGTTGCGGTAGCTGTAGTTGATTTTTCACGTGCTTCTGAAAAAACTGGAATTAATTCACATAATAAATTGATAAAGAACGTAAATCTACCAACTTTGAATTGAGATTTAAAATTATTAAAAACACATTTTAATTACTTATAAATGGGATATTTCTTAGTTTAAATAAAAGGGCACTGTTTATGTGAGTGGGGATGAATGAGAGGATAAAGTAGTTGGACACCACTGTGGTTCGACGCTGAAGAAGGATAACCACTTTCTCATCTTTCCCTCACATTCTTGGAATAAATATTTAGTTTTTTTTTTACCAAAATCGTTTCTTTTGGGTTTCACGCGTAATTATCCATCGTGTTGACTTGACGATGACCACGTATGAAATTGGTGTGAGGTCTCGAGTCGTATTTTTTTACATACTAACGAATACACGTCTAACATTGCCCTTGTCTCTTTGCAACCATACTTCTGAAAACTTGTCTAAAATTCCCTTTTATTATGGTAAATTAGGAACTAGACGGAGTAGTTTCACTAATATATATATATATATATATATATATTATGATGTGTGTGTGTGTGTGTGGGTGGGTGGGTGATTCTTGTGGAATGCAAAAGTGTCTTCCAGCAATCGGACAAATCACACTACAGTCTCTGTCATCGCAAATTCCACTTCTATGGCGTCATCTTCACCGTCCTGGCTCCTAATAGCTCCGGTCTTCTCTTTCACACTATTTTTAATTAATTAATTAATTAATTAATAATCATTCTCTTTTTCTTTACTTTGGTTGGATTCGGTTTTTCGTCTCTTTTTAAGTTCATCTACTTCACAATTCCAATCACTACGGAAGCTCAAGCTCCTCAAGCTATGGCCACCACTCTCCTCTGCCTCTCCCTCTTGCTCCTCGCCTTTTCTTCTGCTGGTTGGTTCTTTCTTTCTTTTTTCTTTTGCTCCCCTTTCTTTCTCGTGTCTTGCCTTTTGAGCTTTCATTGTTTTCCGGGAAAGTTGAGATCAATGCTTTGGCCTCCTCATTGCAGGAAAGTGGTTCTGCTTTCTTGGAACTTTCTTTCTAAAATTTCTCTTGAAAGTGACTGCTTTTAGCTTTCTCATTTGCCAGTTGGAAGAACCGATTCATTCGTTCTGGATTTCTAGTGGATGAAACAAGAACAAATCTTTGTGTTTCTGTTACAAGTAACTCTACAGTTTGAAATATAAAAAAAACCTTTGGCTCTTAGAAAAAAAATATATTGGATTTTGAGCAGTTGTATTATGTGTAACTTCTTGGGTCCCTCTATCTCTGGTCTTGCAGAGTAAGAACTGTTTCCTGTAAATTTTGGGTTTTGAATCGATCCGAACGTTGAATTTAAATTTGTCCCCTCGCTGCTTGTTTCTTTTTCAAGGGTGAAGGGTCTATCTTTCTGAAGTTTACCGGGAAAGTGACAGCTTGCATTCATTCTAGCACATGAAGTTGAGAAACTTCGTTTCTCATGCATGAACTTTGGATTTTGAATCGATTCAATTCTTCCATAGTAGATTTTTAACTTCCTGAATCTTCCTTTGTTTCTTGGCCTTCTCACAGAGTCGCAATCCTTCATCGGCGTGAATTATGGCCAGGTAGCCGACAATCTTCCTCCACCGGAGGCGACGGCGAAGCTACTCCAGACTACCACCATTGGCAAAGTCCGGCTCTACGGTGCCGATCCTGCGATCATCAAAGCCCTCGCAAACTCTGGAATCGGAATCGTCCTCGGCGCCGGCAACGGCGACATTCCTAGCCTCGCCTCCGATCCTAACTCGGCGGCTCAATGGGTCAAGACCAACGTACAGCCCTTCTACCCATCCAGCAACATCACTCTGATCAGCGTCGGCAACGAGGTCATGACCTCCGGCGACCAGGGTTTGATCTCGCAGCTCCTTCCGGCAATGCAAAATATCCAAAACGCCCTCAACTCGGCCGGGCTCGGCGGCGGCAAGATCAAAGTATCGACGGTACATTCGATGGCGGTGTTGACTCAATCGGATCCACCCTCTTCCGGGGCGTTCAACCCGGCTCTCCGAGACACATTGAAGCAGATGCTGGCGTTTCACAGGGACAATAAATCGCCCTTAACGATCAATCCGTACCCGTTTTTCGCGTACCAGAGCGACCCGAGACCGGAAACGCTGGCGTTTTGCCTGTTCCAACCGAACTCGGGTCGGGTTGACTCGGGTAATGGAAAGCGTTACACCAATATGTTTGATGCCCAGGTCCGTGAGATGCTCCTTTTTCCTACGCTTTTCTTCGTCTTATGATATGATTATTTATTTTTAAATTATTTTCTTCGACAAATAAATTAATGTTTTTGGAATGTAGAGTTGACGTGGGAGTCAACAAAAGTAAGTGAAAAAAATAGAGAAGACTCTATTCATGGACAACAACCATGGTCGTCAAATCGTAAGACCCACGTCAACTCGTCAACACCACGTGGTTTCTGTCTTTTTGTTTTTAATCCTTAATTAATTTGAATAGATTTAAAAAGTTTACTAAATTATTTATTTGTAATAAATAGGTGTTATCTTCTCTAAAATATTCTTACTAATTATGTGTATTAATTATTTTTGTACTAGTTTTTATATTAAGAACAGAATAACATAAATAACATAAAGTAAGAATTTGGCACTTCAATGTGCAATTTCCGAGTATGATTGTGGCCTGTTTTCGACCTATTCTCTTGTCGGTGTCACTTATATTTCTTTTTCCAAAAAACTACTATGAATCTTACTGAGAACTAGTGGATCATTATGAATCTTACTGTGTTGAACGTGATAATTCTATCAAACGACTTCGTGTTTCACATATGATTGATAGCTAATCATCGATCTGATGGTGGAGTCTTACGTGGGAACAAGTTAAACATTCCAGGAAAAGAATTACGATTGATTATGGAGTCATCATTGATGTCTCTGTTCGTAGTTCATACTAATCTAGTACAGTAACACTGTCCAGTTGCTTCACATAAAAGTTTCAAGTAAAGAGTTTATATCTGAAGTTTCATTTGTATTAGATTTTACCCTTTGAGGTGGGGCTAGTAATAATTGCTCCATGACAGGCTGGTTATTCACTGTGTGCTTTTCAAAGTTACAATAATTGTTGCACATGCCTGTTTGGCCACACCTTATCACTTTCTCAAGCCAAAACAAGCAAGATGAGACCCCATGTCCAATCCTGCCTCTTTGATTGATATTTATAAAAATTCTAGTTACTTCACATTTATTTTGTTATTCCAATCATAGACAAGATCACTTAAAGTAAGTTAACAACTTTCAAACTCCTGTATCTTGAACAGGTTGATGCTATACATTCTGCACTGAGTGGTTTGGGATTTGAGGATGTAGAGATAATGGTGGCGGAGACAGGGTGGCCGTCGCGCGGTGATAGCAACGAGGTGGGGCCAAGTGTGGAGAATGCTAAAGCCTATAATGGCAACCTCATTGCTCACCTGAGATCATTGGTTGGGACCCCATTGATGCCTGGAAAATCAGTGGACACTTTCATTTTCGCACTCTATGATGAAGACCTCAAGCCTGGTCCTACTTCAGAACGCTCCTTTGGCCTTTTCAGAACTGATCTTACCATGACCTATGATGTTTCCCTTACCAAGACCAGCCAGCAGGTCATCACCAATTCTTAAAATCGCATTGTTCTCTTGCTTCACTATAATTTGTTCTTCCACAGCTAGAGCTAACATATATTTCTAATTTGTTTCCATAGACTCCGACTAATCCTAAGGCTCCGGTTACGCCGGCACCTACAAAAGCATCGGGATGGTGCGTGCCGAAAGCTGGCGTCTCAGATGCTCAGCTGCAGGCCAGCTTGGACTATGCGTGCGGCCATGGGATAGATTGTGGACCAATTCAACCAGGAGGGGCTTGTTTTGAGCCAAACACAGTAGCTTCTCATGCTACTTATGCCATGAATCTGTATTACCAAACACAAGGCAAAAATCCTTGGAACTGTGATTTCTCTCAGACAGCAACGCTCACATCCCAAAACCCTAGTAAGTTCTTCTTAGCCTTGCAAATGTTTCCCATAAAGTATATAATGTCATAGGAAATATAAGTAAATAGGGTACATGACCTTAAATTGACTTGATTTTCTTTGTCCATATGTAGGTTACAATGCTTGCACTTACCCTGGCGGGAGTACTTGAGAACACTAAAGCTTGATGTTGTTGATTAGATTGCATTTTGAATGAGTTAAGGAATAAAGGGATGTCGCTTTGCCCTATTCTGTTTGTGTTCAGTATTATATCAGTTAATTGTAAAGGGTTTCCATTTCCAAACTTGGGCTTGTCTATTTAATATTGAATGTAACGTTTTTAGGTCGTGTGTGTGGAAAATGGAATTATGTTGGGGGCGAGGAAAATGTAATGGGAGGCCCCGGTCTTGTTTTTGTCATGCATAAAAATCTTTCTTGTTTGTTTTTTGGAGTGAAAATCAAACTACAAATAGTTAGATACTAATGCTTATCAATAAGTGTAAAGTTAAATCCAACCTTCAAACCTTACCACACCATTAGCTAGTTAGGTTTCCTTGTATCTAAAAAGCTAGGGAAGACGTATTAAAATATCCATTCTCGACATTAAAGGATAATTCTAGTTAAACCGATCATGTTAGCAGACTCTCTCTGTGTTCATACCATAAGTCTTGCTGATGCTCATAACCAAATGCGGTTGGTTTTGACTTTGGAATTTAGGATCGCTCCAAAATTCTCATGACAATAGATAGGGTCTGTTAGCTGATGAAGTGCTTTGTGTTCACAAGTCTTGATACAAATTAAAAAGTAACCTAACAATAAATTTTGGCCTGATTGGCGAGATTCTCTTATATGTTTGCCTTTTGGTATGGTCGAAACCGTCATCGCTTACCACTCACTAGATTACTTGGATGCCAAGTTAGAGGTCTTCTTTAATATCAGCTACCTTTCCTATTAAGAAAGGTCGCAATGTGGTGTTTGTCTGCCTGTCAGCATAAGCTGAGTGCTGATAAACGACTTCTCTTGGTGACTTGCAGCCTCTGATTGTTAGTGCAAGCAAGTCCGAGTTTCGTTTTAATCTCTTCCTTGCAGATGTGGGAATTTGGAAGGCATAGATACTACAAGTGAGCTTTGACTTACCCTGTTGGGGCCACTTATGTTGCACTTTTTTTGATTTAAAGACGAAGCGGACTCGAATGAGAAGACAAAGGCTTTTATCTTTTGAACCAGTGGAGCTCTTTGCTCATGGCGTCACTGTGAAACCCATGTTTTTCATTACAGTAATCACTTAAGGTTCCAGCCTAACCTTGGCTATGGAAAATCAAATTTGTTCGTGTGGTTGTCATCACTCATTCAAGTTGAAGTAAAAACAGTTTGCTTTTCAAACAAATAAACTCGAGCGAGTACTTAAACGTCTTTAAGGGATTTGGATTTGGCATTTCAAAAGTTTAAGCCGCACTGACAAAAAACGAGAGACTTTTGGCACCTATTGGCTATTGGCTTGATGATTAAGGCACCGTTTGGGTGACATCCCAAACCATGGTTTGGGTGATAAGTCACCCAAACACCCACCCAATTTGCACAAACCGTGGTTTTGGGATCAAAACCATGGTTTTGAAAAAACAAAATTTTTTTGTTTTTGGAGAAAAAAAGGAGAGTGTGAGAACCTATAGGATATGTATCTTGTTATTTTTTTTATAAACATATTTTTTATAAACATATTTAATCTTATATTTTATAAATATATATACATATTAATTATTTATTAATTATATTATCTTATGTATTATTAATTATGTTAATAAAAAATATATTATTAACAATTTTATTCCTTCAAATTAAAATATATCATAAAATCTATTTTTTCTATAATTATCATATTAACTTATGTCTTTTTTTTGGTAATTTGTATATATAAAAAGTGCTTCTGATAATAACTATCCAAACACTCTCACTTCTCAAAATCACTTTTTCATAAAATCTATTCTTTCCAGAATCTATTCTCCAGAATTACTTTTCCAAACCACGGTTTGGTTTCATCCAAGCACACCCTAAGTGAGGTGAAAAATAATTTATTTATTTTTTTGGTGAAACCAATAAATAAAATAATTTACTAATAATGTAATAGTTCACTGGAAAGGTGGAACCAACTAATAAAATATGATTAATCCCCGTCGCTGGACTCCTGTCTCGCCAATGAAAGTGACAAGCGCAGGATGTTTATTTGTCAACTCGGTCGAAAAATAGACTTCTAGTGTCACTTGCTGAGTTTGGGGCCAATGTGAGTGAACAAAATGAGATGAATGTTCCAAATTAAATTGGCAATTGACAAATATTCAATTAATTGAGGACACAGAAATCTACTCAAAGCCTCAAAAATTCATAATACATTGGCTACAAGGCAAACAATGAAGTATAATCATGAGGGTGCAAGTCACTTCAATAAGCCGAACCTGTTACTTGCAGTTATCATAGCTCATCTAACAAGCATGCAGCGATGGACAGAGAACTCCATATTGGGCACAGGTGGGTACTATATTGCAATTCTTTACACAAGCCTATCTAGGGGACTGTTTAACACCAGTAGCATTCACTAACCAGAACAAAAAGAATCATCTCTGTAGGATGAACTAGCCGCTCGCCACAATCTCATGAATGGCATCACTGATAGATTCGTCTTCCGATCTAACTGCCAGTTTCATCGCAACATCCTTTGGACCATCAAGTCCAAAGGACAAGCGCACAAGCACCTTTACATTCCCTATAAATACACCAGACAATAGACACGTGTGTGACCTCGCATTGGGTGGGACGGTCTCTGTGCCCTGCAGATAGCGAACAAAAATAATGAGAAAATCACTTCACTATCCAAAATTCCAAATGATAATCATATACTGGGGGGAAAAGGCTCCATTTCTGTGAGTTGTATGCTCGCACACGGGTGCCAAGAGAGGCATGCCGTCTAAAAGGCAGCTACTTCAATACATGAACTTCGTTGCTACTGGATTTATTAGGCAGCGTCAATGTCCAACTTCCCATTCCTTCGAGGGAGCTAAAGATCATTACATCTCTATATGCATCAACCGCATTTGTATTTGTAAGTCAGTGATACTATGACATGGCCAAGTTTTGGTCTATGCTTTTCAACATTCGATTTCTAAAATCTGCCTGTCTAACTTCATACACAATTAACACAACATTGGTCTCTCAGCAGCACCTAACAGGAAGAACCTTTGACATTCCAGAAACATGGGGAGAACTATATGGTATACTTTTTCAACCCAGTCTAATAGAAGCGTCATAAACATAAACATCACCAAAATACCAATTGAAATAATCATCTCACCTCACAGGGCTGCATGCCAAGAAGATTGATGACAGTATTTACAGCTTCAGCCAAACTCTCTCTTGCGCCAAGCCCATATTCATCCACTCGCTCAGCATCAGGATCCATGTTTTCCCATGCATTTCTAAAATTAGACACTCCCACTTTCAACATGTAATCGGCAGCAACAACATCCAAGTCCTCCAGCTGGTATTCATCCTCCACACCGTCATCTTCTGCCTCACCAGTGGATGGGTCAACCTGATGAACATCAACCCACTAGATAAGCATGGCACATATTTAGAGAAAAATTGCTTTTCTCTTCGTGCAGTCCCTACTTAAGATAAACAAGTCTGGATTCTCTTAATTGAAAATTGACAACCCAAAGCATAAATATAAAGTAGGACACTTGGGACAAAAGCCTAACCAAAAAGCTTTACAAAAATAAAGGTAAGAACCTCTTTAACGATGAACTTCAGAATGTTGGAAAATTTTCCAACTGTAGGCAATCCTTCCGGCTTCTCAAAAGCCACAAATGTCTGCCCCGGTGAGTCATAAGGAAGAGATCTGAGAGGCTTGGAGAAAACCTCAGAAAATTCCTCAGCGTCTGAGGCATCTACAATTACAGTAACCTGGAAAAGGGCCAAGGCATTATATACAGAACTTAGGGTAAAATTGTATTATGAAGTTAACAGTGTTTAGATCAGTCATTACATCTTCCAGCAATTGCTCTGGTATAGTGTTTGTGCAGTTGTACTGGAACACAACATGCCGATCAAAAATGTGCTTAACAACATTGACTGCATATTCTGTTTCAGCTTCAGTAAGTTCCACAGGTGGCGAGGACTGTTGAGAAGTAGAACATTATAATATATTTAGAAAGAGATGAAGAAACAGAAAATAAGATTGTGAAAGAAAAATCAAGTAAAAAACCTTGAAGAGCTTCCCAAAGCTTGCAAACTCAGGAATGGAGGCCAGCAGCCTTTCATATGCATCTGCAGTCGATGGAGGACCACTTGGAGGAGCACCCAAACCAGCTGGCTTTTTGCCTGGTGCTTTTTTCTCTGCAAGTGGCTGAGACTTAACCTCCCTAGGAACGGAGTTGATGTCAAAAGGTTCTCCCGAAGGCTCCTGGAATTTATATTATACATGTAAGGGGATGGCCTTGATAAACAAATAGCAAGAAATAGAGGGGTCTTACATAATTTTTCAAACTATTCTCCAGATTCACAAGGGGGATATCAAAATAACCAAAGAGGAAGTCCTTGACGTCTTTATCAGTCTCAAAAACTGTACCATCTCCTGTACCACCTCCTCCAAGTGTATTAAGATAAAGTGTTGCCCTATCACGAACCTGCAATGGAAGCCGAACTACCAACATATAAATCAAAAGATATATAACATGCCCACACAGACATGAATCCACAGTAGCAAAAGGCACGATAAAAGAGCAAGATGAAATCGTAATTTCAACAAACAATGTAGTCATTTTCTTACACACATGAATAACTGCACATACAATGAAAGGCATTGAGATTTCAGATGATATTATTATTGTCAGATGTAAAAGCGACAATTAGAAAACAGTAAGAAGTTCCAAAGCCCAAACAATTGCATGCATGTTATAAACAACATAACTACAGAGATGCATCAGAAGATGACACATATAATTACCTCATCATCACTATCAAAAAGACATCGCCTCAGCAGAACAAATATCCGTGGCTGAAAAAGTGAAGTATGACATCTCAAATTAAGTTAGAAACAAGTAAAAAAATCTAAGAGCAAATCATAATAAACGACAAAATTGATAAAAAGAAGTGAATGATACCTTTAATGACTCAACTGCGGCACCAAACTTCGCCAAAGTGCTGACAGCGCTGGCCCTGACAGTTGCATTCTCAAGATGTACTCTATTATATATGTAACGTATATATTTGCTGGGGTCAGATGTTTTCGGTCCTTCAACTCCGAGGAAGTGCAGTATCTAATGAAGAAGAGAAAAAAATGAACGGAGTAGATCACCTAAACTATGAACCATCAAAGAACAGGGATGAACCAAAATGAACCTGTGTAGACAAATAGGTGAATTCGCAATCTTCAATGAACTCACAAAGATGAAGCAACCCACTCTCCTTTGCATCTGGGATATCTCTTATGAG